CTTAGATTCGTACAGCAAATTAATTGAACGCTGTACAGAGAACGGTGTCGCGGCACAATACTACAAGTCTTTAATTTATCGAGACCGTATAAAATATTTAATTGAATTTCTTCAGAATCAAGATCCAAATCCGGAACCATTAATGGAACTATTCGTTGTGCTTCTAATAGGATATGCCCTATCTTTACTAGTTTTCATTTATGAGTGTAGAACTAAAATTAGGTCTTGCTATAATCGGGCGTTACATGTATGTACACCATGATGATTTAGTGTATTTACAAAGTTAATAAAAAGGTAAGCAAATGAAATGTTTACCTACGTTACTATTTTTTTTTAATAGTATCCGGCTTTCCCACTCAGTGGTAGGACTTTTTCTTTCTTTTTGTTTTTGTATTTCTACTTTTTTTAGAGTTTTTCTTTTCTCTTTTCTTTGTCTTATTTTTTGTGCGAGCTTTTCTTTTCTCTTTTATATTCTTTTTAATTTTATATATTTAACTGTTCTTAATATCTATTACATTTGGTTCTTTTTAATATTATTATTTATCTTATATTTACAGTCTCTGCTCTTTCTTAATCTATACGAATTAGTGTCCTCTTTCTTTCCTTCTAGTTAGCTAAACTATTCACGTTACTATTACTGCACATGTACATATTAGGCTCCCGAACTAATGTTTTCAGAAACTAATCTAGACGATTGAATGCTGGCAATCATAAGAGGTCAAAATAAAATTATAGAAGGCCAAGAGCACCATGCACCACGCAAGGTAGTAACTCAGATGAGTCCATGAAAATGACATTGATGTTTTAAGAGTGTGAAGTGTGGTAGGTAATTATTATTAATGTTTAATAAATTGATCTTGATAGAGTTTGTAATATAAATTTTATTCCAATACTTACTATACATTTCATTATAACCAAAAAGAGATATTTCCTAAATTGTACTAAACAAATAGGGTTATTTTTAAGTTGTCCTAAACAGAATGAGTTATTTCTTTAACTTTTTTCAAAAGCGGTATTTCCAGACTTTAATAATGATTGCAAATTTTATTATTAATATTAACAAATAAATAAAAGTCACCATTCGTGTGATAGTCCGGGAGGCACCAATCCTGAAAGCTCTGTGATCACGGATTCTAATATTTTTAATAAAAAATAAAAGTTAACGTTTAGACGAACAAGATTTGCTTGGTCGGCGTGGATTTGTTTGGCCGGAAATATTTTAATTAAATTATTTATTATTAAATTTCCATATTTTTTTCCGTCATCACGGTTTTTGATCAATCTTATATAGAATTTTGTGTGAAATATTATGTTCAACAAGAAAAAATCCGGCCGACCAATGATTTTTAGCCGGAAAAGTCACGCATACCTATTTGAATGGTGTGATAAGGGGTAAAATTTATCCATTATCACGGAAACCTTTTTTTGTTTTTTTAATTTACGCGTTTTAATGTCACATTTATAATTATCTTGGTATGCGTGCTTACAAACTGCCGAAAGTATCGCGCATACCAAATTTTATTGTGTGAGTGAGAATTATATTGTTTTAGATTTCACTTACTTGATGACATTTCTTTTAGAGTCTCTCTTCTACCTCTGGTGTCTTCCTTAAGTTTTTAACTATTTATTATACAAATTAACATTGAAAAGAGGGAATACAGGATTTTTGTAATTTGGATTGATTATATAATAAATTATATAGAAAATTACCTGAATGTATATATATGTAATGTGAAATGATAACTATTGTCGTTCAAATCATCGGAATTTAAGCTTAAATCTTGATACTTATTTTTTTTTAATTTCCGGAAACTCAGCACGTTTTTGCATTTTTTAAAAGCTTCTTCCCTTCCAGAAAACGGAGTAATTTTCTCTTTAGTTGATGTATTACAAATAAAACACTTCATATTGAAATTGAATCGCTGAGATTGGATCTAGTGCTTTAAATGTTCTTTTATAACGCAACAGTACAGTGAATCAATCGTCACTTTATCACTTAAATGGACACAATATAACCAGAAAATCAATATCTGTTTAAAATATCAAAAGATGTACAAATATTAGACGGTTAGACAATTATAAATAAAAAAAATGTTTTTTTTTTTAATATTCAACAGTGAATTTTGTTAAATTAATAAATTTGTTTAGAATGCTGATGTAACCTATACAAAATAACGACACTTTTGACAGCTAGGAAAACAGCAGACTCAAATGTCGAGATGATCTGAACCCCCAAAATGCTGTAGGACAACGTAGGTATGCTGTGACCTTTTCGGAGCAAGAGAGAAAGACCTATGGAACTTTAACATAAATTCGATCTTATCTCACTTACTCTTGGAGCAGTCTTATGGACTTGAAAAGAAACCGGAGTAAGAGAGTTAACACTATGCAGCCCTGTCGTAGAACAACCTCACTTTACGGTATTGTGTATCTTTGAGGCAGGTAAATGTTAAATTCGTAGGGAATAGAAAGAGACGAACTCATGCAAGGTTTCAACTTTAACCAAAAATCTGCCTTACTCACTCTTTACAGAAATATAGAAACCGTTAAAAAGCGAAGAGTTAAAATTTGGTATGCGCGATACTTTCGGCAGTTTGTAAGCACGCATACCAAGATAATTACTACACATTACATTGATCAAAATCCGTGATGGCGGAAAAAAATTATGGAAATTTAATTTAAATATTTCCGGCCAATCAAGTCCACGCCAACCAAGCAAATCTTGTTCGTCTAAACGTTAACTTTTATTTTCTATTAAGAATATTAGAATCCGTGATCACGGAGCTTTCAGGATTGGTGGCTCCTCGCCTATGAATAACATTTCGTCGATATTTTACTGAATAAATATAAAAATATACACCGTGCATTTTGAATTACCAAAGGAACTTTACTAGCTTACGCAGACAAATATTAAGGCTACAATTCCGCAAGAAAAAGCTTTAGTATTTTTTTGTCTCCACGTTAAGTGATTAATTTTGTAAATATGAAACTTAAACAATTTTAATTGTTATAAATTGTTTGAAATAAACCTAGTTTAAGAATCTAAAAAGCTATGTTATTTACAAATATACGCCGTTTTAGGATATTTTGTTACCGATAAATATCAATATTTTTGGAAGGGGGTGTAGTGCGTTTACCGTTTATAACTGTTCGCACTTTTTGTATTTACTAGATTTTCAAATTTCTCAGTTAACTTCAAATTCACGCTGTATGTCTTAAGTGACTTAATTTAAAGTTATTGGTTTTCATTTATCAACAATTTATGTTATGGCGGAAATATCTCCATTTAAACAGACACTCGTCAATATGGATGTTGTCACTAATCGTTAATTCATGTTTTGTGTTAATTTTATTATAGTTTGTATTATTAGAATATCGTAAATCACAATTTTTAACTTAAATAAATCACATTGAATTAAATAATATTAATTTTAAAAGCTATATTTATCACCTATTGACTCATGATTATAAACACTAATAGGAGCGCGTGACGTCATTAACCGTTAAACAAATACGGAGAGGCGGCTGTCTATTTCTCTGTTTTTCTTGGTTTGTGTTCATACCGACGACACAATTGTGAATTATTTATTATCAATACCACGATGATAACTGGATTCAGCAAAGGGAATAATTTCAACTTACCAAAGATAGATTTGTTGATGGTGGCAAACTATTTTGCAAAAAGCAACCATTTCCCATGATTACTGGTTCACCAGATGGAACAGGCCAGGCTGTTATAATAGAAATCAAATGTCTATGTCGATCTCTAGCCCCCCCCCCCCCCCCCCTTGCGGCGCCCTTGATGTTTTGGTTATTAAAATGAGTTAATTTTATTCGATCGTACTTCGTGCATCAACTGGAGCCTGTGGTGAGTGTCGATTCTGGCATGATTCTTTAAATCTGAACAACAGTTCTTCTTTCTTCTTTCACAACAGTGTATCCTTGTCATTCTCTACACAGAATGAAATGAAATGAAATCAAAAGTCATTTATTCAGTCTAGGCTGTTACAAGCACTTGTGAAGATCTAGAAGCTACGCCATCGGTTCGCAAAACTACGGCGCCGCGGCGGTAGACCTTGTACTGAGAAGAACCGGCAAGAAACTCAGCAAGGTCTGTTTTTTTCTCCCTGTATTGTTAAATACAGAGTCATCAAGTTGAAAAGAGAGACTAATCTTAAATTTAGTTTTTATTTTACAAAATCACGTTAGAATTTACACCATTGTGAACGTACGAGCGTACTTACCTACTCGTGGAACAGGTGATCACCGCGCCGTTCACCGGCGAGTATTTGTACGCTTTACATTGCGTGCTTGAAAAATACTGGTGTCGATTCTAGCGTGATTCTCCAAACTTAAAACTAAATTTAACATCAGTCTCTTCTTTTCATTATGTATAGAGAATGACAAGGATGCACTGTTGTCTAATTTAAGTTTAGCTTTAGAGAATCATGCCAGAATCGACATCAGTAATTCGTTAAAAAGGTCCAGTAAAAACACCACTGCCATTAGTTTACAATTTCATAGTTTAAAACATATATTTTGGCTTCAGGAGCGTTACCCTTACACCCTGTTTATGTATTATTTAGTTAGGTGGTAAATATTTTAAAAAGTTTGCATCTCTTCACTGTATCGTTGTATCTGTCAATGTCAGAAGTTTTTGGCGGGATTTCATCGAGTGTGGTTGGCCTCTTATTTTAATTATTTTTAAATTCGTTCATAGTGGATATTGTAAAATAAAATTGGTGTGATTTTATGTTACAATCATCTGCGCAACTGAAGAATTAGTGGAATCTTTAAAATATACGCTATTCCGGTCAATTGGACGTGAGAACTTTATTTTAGTGTTGACTTCCTCACAGAAGCTTATCAAAAAACCAACTCGATACATTTCGTGCCAAACACTCTAAGAAACAATAGAATGCGTCACACCGACATTGTAATGTAACGACTGAAGGACTTGTATCCATGGTCATGAATAAATTATAAAAAAAACTGTCAATGTCAAGTTGACAAGCCAAAATACAAAGCAAAATGTTCCTGAAAATCAAATAGCTATGATCTCATCTCATAGATTCTTCCAATTTAATATCTCTCACCAGTGAAAAAATATTGTGAACCCTTTTCTTTATACAGAACGATGCAACAATCACCTTTTGAAAATATATTCAATATTATAGGTGGGCTATCAGAAGGCAATGAAAAACCTATGAAACACGGCTTTTATAATGCATTCGCACTGTTTATTTTAACTATTTGCTGTGCAGCTGTTTATGTGTTATTTCTCATATTAGAACCATTTTTCAAACCATTGTTTTGGGCGTTACTAGTAGGTTCTTTGTTACACCCTTTTAAGTACAAACTTTCAAAAATATTGAAATCATGGTTTGAAGATTTGAATAAATCCAACACCTCGGTTATAGTTGGATTAATAGTTATTCCTGCGAATGTCGTCAACTCTGTATCTGATACAGTTGGCCATCAATTTCGCGAGCACTATAAGGCAAGTAAATATACTTTTTTAATATAATGTCATTACAAATTTTGATAAGCACAATAAAATTATTAACTATAAGTTTCACTAGACTGTTACCTATATTCTAGTAGGAAAGTTAAATATGTATAATTATTTAGAATATTTTAAAACAAAAGTAACAATAAATGATAACCTCTTTACTAAATTTATTTTTAATATTTATTTTATAATTTCCACTTTGATTTGCATACATTTCTTAGAAGTCGTAAATCTATTAAACCATAGAGTTATATTGAAGTTAAGGTTTTCATTTAGATTAAATTATCAATCCTAATAAGGTTTTTTCTAAATAAAAAAGAGTAAGTTGCTAACAAATTCTTGTTTTTTTTTCAGACCGTGATTGCGTTACTGTCTGCAATTTATGTACTGCCATGGCTATACAACTCAGTACCGAGAAGTTTTGCTTGTATATTTTGGCAGATCACCAGCTTTATTGGATTTTCAACTACTATGTTAATTAATTTATGTACTTCATACATAGTAAGTATATATATAGTTATAAATTTTATTATAATCTTATAATTAGGTAGTATAAAATACTATCTGATGATTATCTGAGATAATCATGGCAACAGTGCTGAAATATCAGGAACTCCCAGAAACAAGATACATTCCTGCTATTTATTTATCATACTAAAAAATACTACTTTATGAGTGATATAATCTCTCATGATAATGATGTTCATTTTAACATTTACATCAATTGATGTCCGATCTGCCATCCTAGTGAAGCATGGTGTAGGAACTCAGACAAGGTTATGAGGAAATGGTGTTGAAAGTTTTAACTTTAAAAGCCATTTTATCAAAATTTTGTAATAACAATAAATAGTAATGCTCAATTATGACTAATATGGGTGATTCTCAGTTAAGAGGTAATCGGTTGTATGGAAGCAGTGGCACAGCAAAAAGTGTCGATATTTATATAACTATATCACTACTTTTATCAAGACAGATGATTTTAATATGATTTTAAGATGATGTCATTTTTTTAATTTATTCTCGTTTTACGAGACACCAGGGTACTGAGTACAGGGTAGAGACAAGATGAACTTTATTGCAATGCACTTAGAGCGCATATTAGGATGCACTGTAAAGTACTTATCCGTGCAATCAGATTTTAGTGGAATAACGATATAAAACAATTATCTAAAATATATGCAATTGTACATTCTCTTATAAATTATCATTACTGTTATTGAGCTATTGCATCGTTTTTATAGTTTTGTCAGTAGCCTGGCACCATAACTGCCAGGGGAAATATGGCAGGGGAGAGACATTTTCGTTAAAAATGGAAAATTGCAGGAAAACTACTAATTTTACAAAGATTACAAATAAATAAAAGGTTTGCAGCACTATTTAAAATAAATGTATAAAGATATTGTAGTATTTAAACACATAAAAACGAAAACAAAATTACCAGGGTAAATACTTCGATCACTCAACATGGCTGCATTTATCGAGCACCGTTGCGCAAATGACCAAAAAAATTGCCGCGCGGATGGCTTGTGCAGCGCTTGCTGCTAACTTCACGTGACACTCGGTGTCATCAAGGTCAAAACTACTACAGACTATGGTAAACAAATACGATTTTCAAACTAAACCTAAGGCCAGGGGGCGAGACACGAAACTCGGAGGACACAGTTTGCGATTAATATTTTTTATAAAAAGTGCAAATATAAATGAATTTAATGGTAACATACTGTAACCAAGTTATCAGGGTTCATGTTATTACCGATAGAAAAGTAATAATTAAATTTCAATGGACTCAAAATTACTGATTTACAAAAAAGAAACGGTTAGGGGACAACCCAGGGGAGAGATGTTTTTCCTCTTTGTGCTGTTATTGTAAGTAAATTATGCACATTTAGAATATAATTTTAAGTGACAATTTAGAACACATTTAGTTAATTGAAATTATTAAGATTTTAGACCATAATTTCCAAATATAATGATTTTTTTGGCTTAGCCGTCGAACATACCTCTTAACTGAGAATCACCCATATAACTATTAAAATAAAACTAGGAACACATAAACTTTTGAATAAAAAAAAATGTCTGCAGTCTAACTGGGTCAAAATCAGAGAGGTGAGCATGATGCTTCTGACAAAGTTTTTCTGAATAAAATAACATGATATTACTAAAAGAATTATTTCAAAATAAAGGTTCTGTGCATAATTACACGGCATTTAGCATATTTATCTGGGTTGGGTTTAGAAATAAGCTTCCTCGTTCTGGGAAAACCGATGCTGTGGGGGGGCTATGTGGCTTTTACTGAAACTCCCGACATCGATTTTACTTAGTTGATTTTAGAGAGGTACCTACTTATTTTTTTTAATTTTTTTTTGAGTGAAACAAAACGCATCTAGTGAGAAGAAAAGTAAAACGACATGCAAAAAGTAATCAGAACAACGTGAAAAGAAACGTTTCGGTTTCCGTGAATGTTCTCTGCTTCCTCTTGTGTGATTTCGACCCTTTTTACTGATCGTGGCGCGCCGCTCGGACTGGATTGCATTACGACTCACTGGATACGAATTTGGACACTAAACGGTTTTGATATTGCTTCGCCATCTGGAATTCCGGACCCACAACCTGGGCCGTAGCTGCGTGGGTGAGCATGGAGTGCCTACGGTTTGGTACGCTAGGGCGGAGGGGCTGCACTTCCCGCAGCGCCCGAGACGTTCGGAAGCTTTTAGATGGCCTTAGGGCTAAACTACTTCCAAGGCCCAAGTGGTGATACTTCATACTAGGTTAGGTTAAGTTAGTATTGTGACCATAATGCGCGAGCCGAGCGAGCGAAGCGAACGTGCCCCGCCAGCAGCCGGCGAAGCGAAAGAAAAAAATTTTTTAAGAGACTTTTTCTACAAGTAAAGTTCGAGTATCACCGCTTGGGACCTGGAAGTACAGTTTTACTGCCCTTAGTCCTGTAGGTCACTTGATAGGTTAGATTTTATAAAAAAATTGCAAGTATGAACCTTAAATGTAGTTGTGATTTTTTAAAAAAAAAACTTTTTGTGGTGTTTGTGCACTCTCCTAAGCCCTAACCTAACATGTCATCTCTCTCTTGCTTTTTATGCATATTTTATTTTGAGGTTATGTTTACAATTTTTTTTCCTGAAAAAACTACGAATCTCCAGCAGACGGGGTTTGTATAGGGGGGCTCCCCTCCCCTCTCCCCTCCGCAAACCCCTAACGAGGAAGCTTATTTCTAAACTTTACCCATTTATCTTTTTATACTAACGTTTTATTTGATTTAAACAAAAAAAGGTCAAAATAGTCATTCCGGGAATGCGTCCTTATATCATGTTTCATAGTTCAAACAAGTCAAAATGTTTATAATTAAATTAATACTTAAAATTAACATATTTTTCTATTAGCTTTGAAAATCATCAAATTAAGAATATACGTATAAAAATATCATATCATTTAAAAAATAATATCATGTCATAAAAAATATCGTATCATTTCTTCATATTTTGACTATTCAAATAAATGGTGTCTGACGTTTATTGAATCATTCAGTGAACGCGGTGGAGATCGATCAATGTAAATAAAAGGACACACGCGAGGTGGCGTTAGCGAGCATCATCGTGAAGTTCACAAGTCATATCAAAAGGTGTGTTTCGTGTTTACGGAAAAAAATAAAAGATTTTGTTTGCTAAGTACCTTTTTAATTGATATGTGTGAAGCGTACTTTATTTAATTCCCTGTGACTACGGGAACGCTGTTTGATTGATTGATTGTAAATCTGCATATTTTTTGCAAAATTCTTATAAATATTACCACTCACTTGTTCATAACATCTAAAACTAATATCTAACATGGCGGCGTCAAGCGTGACATGAAAATATTTATCAAATAGTCATTTAGGGAACGTTCCCGTACATAACCCGTACATAATAAGGCGTTCCCGAGATGTCAATTTTTGGGGAAAGGATGCTCTTATGCTTTTAAAATCATAATTTTGGTTTTAGGTATTCATTTAGTAAGAGAAACATGGAAAACCATAAAAATAAAAAGAAAAGAAAGTCGAAAAACGGGATTTAAAGAGGACAGTATATACCATCATTTTCGGGAACATCACAAAAACGACAAATAAATCACTAATAAGTAATGCTATAGTTAAATCTTGCATATACGGTTACTTCTAGGGTGTCAAGCCGATGCGAGCTGATAGCGGAGTACCATACCTATCAATTGAACCCCCATGTATGTTCTACGATTTTGCGTAGTTTTCGAGTTACATTTTTTTCGTTATTTTTTAAGTTCAACGATATGACGACTTTAAAATAGTATAACTTCGTTTGGGTCGATTTTTCTTCGAAATTTTTTTTTAACAGAATGCCTAGTGATTGTAGTTTTATAAGAAAAATAATCTCCTTCCTAACTTTAACCTAAGATATAAAAAATTTGATCGGTACTAAATAAAAATGAATTAAGTAAAACAGAATGGATTTTCAATTGAAATAAAAAAAAATAGATGTTCCATAACATCTGACTAATTTTAAAAACTGCCCGACTACATAAGCTTTAATTAAAATACAAAAAAAGATGTACTAAATAGGGCATTATTTGCTGAAATGTGTTGTTGAAGGTGTTGTATCGGAAATCGAGTTATCTTTGCATATTTGGTCAATCTTAAGTTTTTATTATCCCTTTTAGTTTAAGTGGAGTTCATTCGAAAATAAAAATAATCATTTTATGATAACTAATCACTCGAAACTCCTGTTATCCTCCTCCTCAGGTATTTTTATTTTACGCTTAAATAAGGAAGTGTCTACGCATACATTGAGGACTCATGATTGAGCTTGATATTAGGCATTCTTTTAAAAAAAGAATTTCGAAGAAAAATCGACCCAAAAAGAAGTTATTTTTTTTAAAGTTGTCTTATCGTTGAACTTAAAAAATAACGAAAAAAAAATCTAACTCGAAAACTACGCAAAATCGTAGAACATACATGGGGGTTCAATTGATAGGTATGGTACTCCGCTATCAGCTCTCACTGGCTTGACACCCTAGAAGAAACACCCTGTATACAATATTAAATAACTTTTAAACTTATGTATTTATATTATTAATTTATAAGGTAGTGCAAAAAATGTAAACAATAAATTGAAATTACGGAGCGAAATTTACATCAATTGAAAATTAATGGAGTACTTTGAAAAATAAATGTTTTCAATTTAAAAATATACACAATAACAACAATATCCAATTTAAGAACACGTTAATTAATAGTTCTTGAAGGTGATTCTTAAATGCATTGGTTATAAATTTATTATTATTATAAAATATTTAAAAGTGTTCCCGAAATGACTTTTGTGCCTGACATTATTCTTAAAGTGGTAGAATTTCTAAAATATTTATTTTTGTGCGTGCCTCTTCACAGGAGAGGTTCATGCCAAATGACACAACAGGCTCCACTTGTTAGATTTCTTCAAACGTAAACTTAATTTCTCAGATATTTGAAAACTTAAAATGCTCTCCTCTATGATTTTGACCAAACTACACCTAAAATTCAAAGCATATCCAGGGCACACTTAGTGCCCGAACAGTGGGGACATTAATAGGCAGATGATGATAATACCTAGTCAGGTCATAAATTCTGTCACATGTTTAATATAAAATAATTGAAACAAGTTTATTCATTATGTAACCATTTATATACCAAAATGAACTTAACAAAACATAGATTCTTATGACAATAAAGAAAATATAACTAGAAAAAATTCCACGCGGACCAGGCAGCAGTCCCGTCTGCTGCCTGGTCCGCGTGGAATTTTTTCTAGTTATATTTTCTTTAGATTTAAACATCAAGCAGTTACATGCTTTAAAAATAATAAAAATTATAACTATAATTGCTATTTCTTCTTTCAAATGTTTAATACTTGTAAAAGTATTCATTTGACATTGTGGGTTTACCTATAATGCGAAGAGATGGCGCTGCCTTGCAGCTTAAGAATAGCTAGAAGGAATTTCGACGCGGTCCGTGAGGGCCGCGGTAGCATAATTGGTCAGTGCATTCGCCCACAATAAAGTTTATTCAAAATGACCTCCGTGATTTTGAATACAGGCCTTCAATCTGCGCGGCCAGTCGTCTATCGCAGCACGAACGAGGTCCATGTCAATATCGGTGGCTGCCTTAATCAAGAATGTCTTGAGTGACTCCAAATTGGGATGAGGCTTTGAGCACGCCTTTTCCTCCAAGTGTTGCCATATCTTGTAATCTAACGGACTCAAATCTGGAGGGCCAGTCTTCGTGCAGGATGTAGTCGATTTCACGCGCGATTCACACGATTGTGTGCTATTCGCTCTATGAGCTGGCGTCGAATCTTGTTGGAATACCCGGTGCCTGTTATTGAACATGGTATGAGAAACAGGTACCACAAGGATCGTCAGGACTGTATTTTGATACACAACTGCATTCGTGTTTATACCTTTCTAACAAAAATGTACCTCTGTTAAGCCCCAATAAGAAACTCCCAACCATACCATGAGCGAGGATGGAAAAGGACCTCGTTGGACACGCGGAATACGGTTGCTCGCTTCTTCACTACTGTGTGCGTACACCTTATCATTTTGTTTGTTGTAGCTCTCTTCTACGGTAAAAATTTTTTCATCCGAAAAAAGAATTTCCCGATATTTTTTTCCCGCTTACCGCTTCAACAAAGCGCGGCATCTCTTCAGTCTCAGGTCCATTAGACGAGCATTCAAACGTCTTCATTTAACACCCTTTTCACCGTGGTTCTGCTTTAACCCCATCTGAAGGGCCAACAGTTTCTGCTTACGTTTGGGATTTCTTGGAATTCGTGCCTTCACAGCTTTTATCACTGCTGGAGTCCTAACAGACCGAGGGCGACCACTTCTTGACCTGTTAAGTACACTAGAGTCTTCATTGTATCGTTTGATGGTACGATAAACGAATCTTTTGGTTATATTCAAATTTTTCAGTATGTCGAAAATTTGAATTGGCGCGTAACCGCAACGATGCAACGCAATAACTGGAACACGGTTTTCTTTAAGGGTCCACTCCATATTTAAAAATGAGTAAAACTCTAAAAAGTATACATTTTTATTTTCATGAACAATTCGAAATTTGAATTCAATAAACTTTTTTGTGGCCAGCATTCTAAAAGAAAAGTTTTAACTGTGTGACAATACTTATGACCTGACTGTGTACATATCCGAGATCCTTTAGAATGTTGTAAATCTGTCGCACCACTATTCGGTCCGTGAACTGAAAGTCCCTAGTGTTACTATAAGTTCATAATATCGTCTGGACTTCACCATCACTTAACATAACCAACACTTAAAATTAGGCGGGAAGGAGTCATTTGTCAGACCTATCCGTAAAAAAAATCTGTGAAAACAAAAGTTTACTTTAGCAAAAAGTAAAACAAAAAACTTACATAAGTACCGACGTGAGGCCTAAGAGACCGCGTCGGAATTTCAAAGCGTAATTACTCACTGAATACGTTCGCGACGACAACACTGCCTGTTCCGTAACGTCGGACACTATACTTCCAGCTACTAAAAAGCGGGAATTGTGCGGGTAAAGGGATAAAGTAACAAGTCAAGTACCTGCCGGGGCCTCACAGACCGCAAGTCGGTACTTAAAGGTTAATATTATTATTTTTTTATAAAACTATCTATCTTGGATATTGTTACAGACTCTAACAATAGCTGTCGCATATTTTGTAAGTGTGTACATTATGTGGACACCGCAAAGAGCTGGCTTCTTCAGGTTCACCTCACAGCTTCTCTGGCTGGTCATCACTTGCTTCATTGCGAGTTTAACTGGCTCTTTACAAGTGTACACATTTGTGTTCCTCCAAATCATCTGTGTAATAGGCTTTGCCTTGGAAATAATTGATGTCCACAAGAAGATGTTAGCCAAAGGTAAACAAACCATTTTTACCATCCCTAGTTACCAGATGCAAAAAGCATATATTTTTGTTGATAGATGTTTTAAATTATGTTCTGTTGCACATAACTTTATATAATATCTGGGGGCATATGGCAGTGGCCCCGTCAAGATGACAAAACGAGCCAAGCGATGTGCAAGAGCATTACTTAACTTTTCTCGAGATGCTTTGTTGTTTTTTTTTATCCCTTATAACTAATTCTCTGGATATGTTTAAATAGCGTCATCTCAGCCGTACGACGCCCACTGCTGAGCATAGGCCTTAGGAGACTTATTAAACTTAATAATGTTTAATTTAAATTTTGACGAAACATAAGTGGATTTAATTGTAATTAATAATCTATGGGACACGTATTTGAATGCATACCAGTGCCTGAAATAAAATTGATTTATTATTATTAAACATATAAAATAAAGTTTTAATGGTATAGCTATTTAGGCTAGATATTTTATTGATATCTAAAATTACGTTTTGCATCTTACTCCCTGTGAATGTAGCAAAATAGCCAAACCACATATTTTGACTAAGGTGTAGGGTTTGGGAAGTAAAGCCTTGTAAAGTTATAAGCTTGGCTCTACATAATAAAAGAAATTTAAATGCGAAACACATTGTCCTGTCTTGGAAACATTTTACATGAAAATGTTTAAAGTGGGATTATTTTTTTCTATTATTGCTAAAATAAATACATTCTTAGCAAAAAACAATTTATAAATATGATATATGCAGCTAGTCTATTATTTAGTCGCAGACTAAGCAGACATTAATGTGGACACTAAACTAATCATATAAAAATGTTAAATGGGGAAAAAATGGTTAGCATATTCGCAGTCTGTTTTGGGTGAAGGCTATTACTTTCAGTTGTATGCAGTGGTCTATTTTTATATGTCCTAAAGCTTTTCAATGAATTCAATAAAAAGCAAGGAAATCATAGGTGAAAAAATCATATAACCATAAATTAAATATTTTTTTAGACCCAGACGCTTCCATGGTGGTTGCAATTCACAACGTCCTCACAAATGGACACCATAAAGAAATTGCAGTAGTTGAAGAAAAGCCTTTAGAGGTATCGGAACCAGACAACGAACAAGAGTCGACACCAGAAAAAGATAGCCCATCTCCTACAACTCCTGATAGCATTTCGAAAAGGGGAAGTTGGACTGGCAACGAACCAATACAGAGTTCACCGAGACACGCGAAAATGTTGTACAAGACCAGAACACTATCAGCTTTGCCACTTTCCAATACAAAAACCAAAACGGCTTTCGAGAATCGTCTTCTCGCTTCTTTTAAGCAGCGTTCTCTTGATGAGAACTACATGAGAAATAACTTCGACAATGATGAAGAGACGGCGTTATATTTCAAACTGTTGTTCTTCGCGTGCTTCTGTATGTTAGTGTGGAAACATATTTGGCTGCTGCCTGTGATGTTATTCTTTTTGGCTATCCACGTGATGAGAAGATTGTTGGACTACTTTGGTGTGTGGCTGTTCTTCGAAAACCACTATAATAACGTCATGAGCAAGATTGGTAAATGGTGGGATGACAGGTAAGAATTGTACCAAATAAGTATTCAAAAATATGTAATAACTAGCGGCCGCCCGCGACTTCGTTCGCGTTAACTTTATTTTTTTCAGAATCTCTCAGGAATATAAATTATTTTCGAGATAAAAAATTATCCTATGCCATCCTAATCGGTTAAGCCGTTTTTGCGTGATTGAGTAACAAACATACAAACTTTCACATTTATATTGGCTGGATGAATCAATTAATTAGTCAACATACACCAACTTTGCAATGTTGATAGTATAAGACTATCAAGGTTACAGTTATTTTAACCTATTTTAATCTTATTATGTTGTTGTGAATATACTACATATAAAAATAAAGGAACGGTGTTAAAGAACCTCGAAATCATAATGTATAATAATATTTATTATTAGACATAAAGAAGGTGGTCAGATACCTCTTAGGACGTGTAATGCCATAAGCATGCAATTTGCGCCTCTATGAGATCTCCTTAGAGGTGCAAATTGCATGCACTTGAACTTTAATGCTATTAAGTTCCCTACCCTATGTGGATTGCGCTCAAGCAATATCGCCTTCAAGACTATTACTATACCTCTCTCTGTGTCTTAAAATTTGAACGTTACAGGCGATCTGCGTTAGTACCAGCACATATTCGTGGCATAGGCAAGATTGCATCGATATGCAACAGCAGAATCAGCGACATTGCATATGACTCTGTGGACACAGTCTCCAGTTGCATAGTCATTCTGGGCCTTATACTATTTCTCACTGTGGCTATAATATTCATTTGTATACAGGTACGAGATTCGAAGTGTTAGTTAATTTTGGATCCAATCTCAATATTTCCAGGTATCTTTATCATTATCAGCAGCCTATTAATGTAATTAATGTAATGGGTACTAATGACTGCAAATGCAGCCGGGACCGACGGCTTACCGTGCCTTCCAAAGCACGGACGATCTCGAGTTAGTAAGTTTTTGGTCAGCCATCTGATGACCGACCATTACGAAAGTTACTTAACTTTCACGATCGCAGGCCGAATGCGCTAACTACCTGCGCCATCAAGCTCCTCCCTTTCTAGCTATAAGTATGAATTAATTAAATTAAATTTAGAAAAAGCTGCATTGTTTTTTTCAAATTTTTGTAAGTGTTAAGTTCAGATAAATTTTCATCAAATAAAAGGGCAGGGTAATTTTGGTCACGTTTTATTTATTTATTGAGATTAAAGTCTGGTTATATTAATAACTTGAAAATTAAATGGTCTATGCCAATTGGAGACTCAATGTCAGAAAACATTTTGTACTTAAGTATTTATTTAACTGCTTTTTACACACAGATATACAAATGTCGGACTTAATTCCTTTAATAGTAATAATTTAATTGCAAAAATATGGTTACAAAGATCAGGCTTAATTAATTTAGACTTATCTATATATTAAAATCTATGATAATTATTTCAGATAATTTTTCATGTTTTCAGATATACTCGGAAGCTATTGTGGTGGTACAGCTAAGTGGTAGCCTTTTAAATAGCACTTTCGTTCAGAACAGCGAGTTGCATGCCTACTTGCCCGAAGGATGGGAAGAGAAACTGGACTCGCTCATAGACAACGCTTACACTTACGGACGGGAAGGCATTTCAACTGGGGTGAGAGTTCGTTTACCATTTTCTTTTATTTAGCTATTATTTATTTTTCGAAACAGTTTTTGTATATTTTTTTTTAATTTTGACCTAGAGAGTTAAATTTTAACACAGGTGTTGTCTTTAATACGTACCTAGTCATGAAGGACTATTACGTGTTCACATTTTTGTAGGTTTCACTTCTACCGCATGTTAACAGCACATGCCCGTTTTTTTTAAGTCAGTTGAAAATAACTTTTTTGTTTATTTGTTTTTTTTATTGAATATATTTTCATAGAACTACTTGAAAAGTAAGAAGGTTTATAATATCAATGTAACAGGCAAAACTAAGTATACCGAATTATGAGTAATGAGCACGACGAAAATGTTGAATATTTGACCAAGAAACTAAATATAGTATAACAATAACGCAAACTATGTTTTTATTACTTGCCATGCATACATTGGAATACGGCACTTTCAGGTAAAGCGATATGTAAGTAATATATTTAAATGAATGGTACATTCAGTCATTGAACATCAACCGATAATAATAATTCATTTGTCAAAAGTACAAAAGACAATACTGTTTCGTATTAACGAAATAATTAGAGCATAATGTAAATGGGGGAAAAATCATTATGACCTACTCGAAATTTGCGACTCCCTTAGATTAGGCATAATATAAATGACGAATCCAGACCCGATAACAAAAGAAACCAATCAATTCCCAATAACTTTCTTTGTCACACAAAAAAGTCTTAGCCTTAAAACCTAACCTTGATGATTCACATAAACATGTTCTTTCTTTTCCTGTATTGAAACCGCGAAGCAGGTAAACTGTCTGTTATGTGTCATAAAGATATTTTTTACGAAATACTGCAATTTTACCTCATTTTAAGTCTTATTACAAGAGGAATAAAGCTCAAAATAAAGACAAAGGCCACTCTTACAGGTGAAAAGCATACTCAAAGAAGGAGACCCGGAGAAAGTTAGTCGCGTGGAGCAACAGATCTTGGAAATATGGGACCGCGTTTACCAAAGCTGGGTTTCGGGCCACTTCGCCTCTGGTCCCGGGCCACAAGTCGACGGTACTGCCATACAGGACTCCTGGGATAATTTTGTCAATGATGTTTCTAATGCTCCAGGTAATAGCATAGTGTTATGGAAACTTCTTTCTATTTTACAGGCAAAATATATGATTTGATAGTGAAGCAATTGCAAAAAGAAAGTAGTTTTGTCAGGTATTCTTGATATTGCTGCTTCAAATCTGCCTTTTGTCTAAAATGCATAATTTTATCTGTTTAGATAGTTTTCACCCAGATAACGATGATCGCCGCTGCTCAGCATACTCCACGATTTACTTGTATTTTTTTCTCATAAAACTTTTATTCATCAGGTGTATTTGATTACTCTGGGATCGTGGCATGGGTACAAGCAAATGTAGGCACTTTGAGTGCTATAGCTACTAGCATATGGGCTCCGCTAGCTAGTAACGTGTCTCTTCTGGCGGGTTCAGTGGGCGCTTTCACTTCACTACTATTATGTGGCGGCGGTGCCATCATCAATATGTTCATTAATCTGGTGAGTACTCGAAGAACCAAGTAAAAAAGTTAAATTGGAGCCATATCATCAAAGATTAACCCTTAACAATAAGTGTTGTAGCGATTATTATCTGGGCGCCGCTCGCTAGCAACATGTCCCTTCTGGCGGGTTCAGTAGGTGCTTTTATCGCATTACTATAATGTGAAGATGGTGCCATCATCAATAAGGTGGGTGCTCGAAGGACCAACTTTTAAAAAATGGTGTCAATAGTAATGTGACCCTTTTGGCGGGTTCATCAATCTGGTGAGTGCTCGAAGGACCAAGACCAAAAGCCGGCAATTCTATTTTCAAATTATAAGCCGTAACATCAAACGTCAAATGAGATTTTCTTTTCTTAGAATTTCTGATTTAAAATCAAATCATATTGAAACTCTTTTCAATAGACTAGTTTGTTCAGTACTTTCGGCCGTGGAGAAGAAAGGCGCATAAAGCTTCACATTGTCTTTACAAAAGAAGCTATATTTAGAGCCAGTTCGCACGAGTAATTTCTTAACCATGACGATTTGTTTTTGCGGTGTTCTGCTATACTTCGCCAGATCGCAGTTATGTCCATTTTAATATTTTCTCATTTATGCAGTTATATGATAAAAAATTATAGGTGTTTAAGAAAACTTATTTCTAAAAACAATTCAATATGTCTCGGGCAGTGGGCAGAATTGAACGAGTAAGGAAAACAAAGATTTTTTACTAATCTATGCCACTAAAATAAAGTCGAATATAAGTGCCTCATGTTCCGAGTGGCTAGAACTATTAACGAATGATGTTAATGCAATATTGTCAAAACTTAATGTGCCGTTCAAATTATTAGAGAACACAACTATTTGTCCGCTTTGTATTTGATGCGTGCCCCAGCTAAGTTCATCTTAATTAACCCAATTCCTTACTTCGTGAAATCCTACATGCTTTCAAGCCAAGAGATAAATCGTCTTATTATGAATGGTTTTTCTTTGTCAGATCGTATTTTTCACCACCCTCTTCTACTTGTTGGCGTCGAGCAACGCCCTCTACAAGCCCGTGGAAGTTATAACTCAAATACAACCAAACTTTGGACCACGACTCGGCATCGCATTATCTGTTGCCATAAACCAGGTAAGCAAGACATGAGAGGATCTTTCGAGTACGTCGCGAAATTTCGACTAATACTATAAAGGCGAAAGTTTGTGAGTTTGTGAGTGTGTATGTTTGTTACTTCCTCACGTCCAAGCGGCTGGAACGATTTTAATAAAATTTGGTATGGAGTTAGCTGAGACCCTGGATTAACACAAAGGCTACGTTTTACTGCGGGAAAATATCCCTAATAAACCGCGGGTAACACCGCGAGGCACAGCTAGTTTTAAATAAAAACGATAAACACCACAGTTAGAGAACTATGATTGAAACAGAGAGAATTGAGAAACGGAGAGAGAGAGTAGTAGAGAGCTACTACTCTCTCTCTCTGTGTGTGTTTCTCCCTCTCTTTAGCCGTTCCCGCTGTACTCTGTTCACGGAAACAATTTATTGGAGATTTGTTGGTGCTAAGGATTGCAGATGCAGCCAGGAATCAGGACCAACGAATTAATGTGCCTTCCGAAGCATAGGGAAGCTCTAGATAATAAAGTTTCGGTCACTGAACTTATGACCGTGAATGAAAGCTTAACCTGCACGATCATAGATCAAACGCGCTAACCATAGTGTCATTAAGCTTTTCTGAAAACAAAAGATTGTGATTAAAAATTAGTCTTCTGATTTTATAACCCTTGTTATACATTCCATTCTTTAATTTTAACCTACCCAGGTATTCAGAGCATCATTTAAAATGGCTCTTTTCTACGGCTTATGGACGTGGTTGGTGCACAATTTCTTTGGAGCGAAAGTTGTCTACCTGCCATCGGGTAAGTGCCGCATTGTACATACCACTGTAAAGTACACCCTAACTAATATTACAAATGCGAAAGTGGATTTGTTTGTTACGCTTTCGCGCCTGTACCGATGAATCGAATCTGATGATTTTTGATGAAGACTAGTGTAGAGATAGTGGGTTTGTGGATTACATCAATTACATGCTACTTTTTATATCTGCGATAATACCTTCGTTTATATGGATGGACCCAACTCAGTTTTAAGCTAGTTTTGGTGTACTTACTTTTAGTAGTAGTTAAAAACATTTTAAAACTAGTGAAAACAGAATTAGAGAGCAACAAATTTAGATAACCACTAACATATGGAATTCGATATATTATAACAATTATGAATGTTTGTTATATTTTTTATTAATTTATCTACTGTCTAACATTATAATCTCAAATCATTCTGTTTATGCATAAACTGTCAAGGTCACGAGATATTTTATTTCAATTCATCAAAACTAAACATTTACATTAATAGTAATAAACAATATCCAAATTCGTATGTAATTAAAGATATCGCGTCTGCGCACTCGAGTCGCAATATTACGATTGCCGTTATATCAGAGGTTCATTAAACTATTAATTTCATTCGGACAGATAAATCGGTTCGGTTTTACAGCGCACTATAGCAGTTATTCCTCCGAGTATTATCTCGGGATCATGCGCATACACAGCAAGTGTGCCGTGATTATTACGGCGGAGTCTGCGCCAGAGACAAAATGTATATATTCCTTTAAAAATGGAACTTTTAAAAGTCCTTCAGTTTTTGTTACTGCTTGAAACAACTATTGGATTAAGGATCAATTTCACGAACTGCCAAAGCAATGAATGGACTTGCATCAATAATGTGCCCTCAGATATTGTGTACACATGCACAGATGTGTCGAGTAACGTGAGTACCTACCAATGCAAATTGTGAGTTTATCAGTGTAAAAATATAACTTCTTTAAAGTGACGCTGTCGTTGTTTTAGGACTTCATAATTCATCTCAAAGACTACTACACCGACAATATACACAGTGTTACCGTGCAGAATTGCAGAGTTGTCAAGGTTGTACTCGACTGTCCTTTATTGCAAAGGGCTTCCCAACTTCAACGGTTTACACTTAAGGACTGCGACAGGGTCGAGTTTGTGACTCTATCCAGTACATCATTGTTACAAACTCCACCCGAATTTACTATGGAAAATATCAAAGAGATTGTGTCTTTACCAAGAAACATGTTCAAATCTCCGGTTACCCTAACTGAACTAAAATGTTTAGGGGTCAATTCTCTGAAGAAGATTCGTATAGTTAACAGTAAAATAAACTCATTCAACACCAAAGCAATCTACAATGTTACTGGTATAAAGAACATAGAGTTTGAGAACGTGACCATAGCCAATGTTCAAAATCAAGCTATTGAAGCTATAATGGGAAATGATAATACTATGTTTTCTATGTACAGTTGTAAAATCGAAAGCTTGAGTTCCAAAGGAATTACTGTTCGAAGTAAGACTGTAATTATAGACAGTTCCACTTTTGGGGACATTGCTTCCAGCGCTGTAAATATAACATCAGATAACTTATGTCTTACGGGAAACTCACTAAATGATGTTTATCCTAATGGCTTGATATTGAAATCGTTAAATACAGAAATCACAAACAATAAAATAAATCGTTTGAAAAGTAACGCACTATTCGATGTCAAATGTTTAAGAAAAAAGATAAGCAAAAAACGTTTCAATTTCTCATACAATAAGATACAAATTCTGGAACCACATTCGTTGTCGTTTGACTTCGCCAGTTGTAAATCCGCTGGTACTACAGTTATGGTGACCCAAAACAAAATCGACTGCAAATGTCGCAATATATCGTATCTGACGTCGTCGTCCTTGACTACAGAACTGAACAGTATAATATTAGATGTATCGAACAATAATACTTGTGTAGCAGTGCCGTGCACACTGCCCGTAGAGGTCGTCCAGATATTATTGTCAAGCGACATGTGTCAGCTGAACCTTGACCCTCGCGTCGTATGTTTGCTATACAGCGATAGGAAGCCTACAAACAATCACAATGAAGTGACCACTGACGAAGAAGTCACCGAACCCGCGCCTACTTTCTACCTGATAAGGCAAGCTAATTCACCTAGCGGTGACGCAAGCGCTGCTATGACGGCCATAGACAAAGATGACCTTTTGAGAGATAGCCATTTGAACATGACAAACAGGACAACGATCAAAGTATACTTTGACTCTTCCAAAGACTTCGTGGAAACTTTGAGGAGCACTGGCACGCGGACCAAACCACAGGAAACGTCTAAAGCGCCACCTAGAGAAGATCATGCCAACCACTGTGTAGGCAATCAATGTAAAAACACTGTTGCCTATGATAGGCAGAAGGCGTTAGATTTTTACAAATATCTATATGCGCAATTGCGGCCCCCGAGGCAGAACGACAACAAGAAAAAGAAAACATAATTTTAGTAAACAGATGTATTTGAAAAATTTAACTTGTAATGCATGAATCGTAACGCATGGCTCTTTACTGATACTAATTTAGCACAGCTATTGTTGCTGAGACACAGTACGTGACAGCAACAATTAGCCTGCCGGATAGAGATAATTTCAGATAGAGTTTCGAACAGAGGACCTTAGCCACACAAAAATTAACGACCTTCTTTCCCATTAACCTATAGTATGACTTGCCACATGTCACAGATTCGAAACCAAGAGATTTTAAGTATTAAACATGTTTATAAAAATTTTATATTTCCTTTATAAAAATTTGATTGGCCGATATGATGTTTCCAACGATCGGCACCGCTGCAGTGTCTTTTGTTTCATGCACCACAAAATTGTTTATTTATTGTCTATGTAAGAAATCCATTATACGCCTATTAAAATATATAAATAATATCTATTACTTTTTTGTATTATTTGACAAGCTAATGAATGAAGGAAAAAATAAATGAATAATTTTACAGAAAGAGAACAAAATCTAACACCAACTTCAAAACCGAAAATGAAACTAAAAGAAGTTGGTTTTATTTTATGTTTAAAAATAATTTTTATTTTATTCATTTTAGTGAAATTTACATCGTCCAACTAAACAATAAACAAAAATGCTCATAAAAATAAAAGTTACTGTGTCAAACTATATATTTATTTATGGGACCAAACGGCAAGTATCTCTCCCTTTCAACAAAAATAAAATCACTGAAATCGAATCAGAAATCTTGAAGTAATCGGTGTACATATAAGCATTGTTAAAATTACATAGATCAAGTAACAAAAATGCTTATAAAATAAATATCATTGTTTTCCATTTATTTTTCAATTTATCACCACGAAATGGCAAAAATGTAAAGAACACTTAAATCGAATCAGTAATCTCTGAGTAATCGGTGTACATACATAAAAAAACACCGTGATAATTGAGAATCTCCTCCTTTTTGAAGTCGGGCATAAATGTCCTTATTTATAAGAACACCTCAGCCCCTGACATGACCATCTAAACGCGATATCATAAAACGATTTAGCAACTTCGCTGTCTAACTATAATGGAGTTTGAGGGTTGAGTGTCGATAAAATTGTATAATTCCTACAAATTTACTTAAAATTTAAAGGAAAACATTATAAAAATATAGGCAAACGGCCAGCGCATACTGCGCTGCGCAGTATTAAAATAAATCCTAGAAGAATGCGAAAAACAAATTGTGCATAAATGGTAGAGTAAGGTCATGACCATAGAAACAGGGAACGGATTGAGCCTTCCCTGTGTACAATAAAACTTGACAGATAAGTGTGAGAGAAAGGCAACAATCGGGCAGCTAGCTATATTTCATATAAGTATTGGATTCACTTTCACTTTTATTGATGCTTTCTTGAGAGTTGTTTTATAGTGTAACAAGGATCTTTATGAATTTGAGTGAAAGTTCAGGGAGGGCGCTACTGTCTACGTAAATTACCGGAAATGTCATACAAAACATGAAGTTTACTTAGATGGTAGCGTTAGTTCCAATTTTCAGTACATTTATAAAGATCATTTTCGCACTATATGCGTATAACCAAGGTTTTCTTATATTCTGTTGTCCATTCTTCACACACACACACATACGCAAAAGCACACCTACACTCACACTCACTATAAACACACAAACATGTAATTTTGCTATTTTTTCTATTTACTTTTATCGTCAAGAAAAATAATAATGTTTTGTTATATCCAATACAACTGCTAAGATAATATTGTAAGTACATAATTGGAGAGGACACTGGATTCCATACTACAGGCTAAGGCCTGTTTTGGAATGCAGGGGATTCAAACATTAATTGTAAAAAGTATAATGTCAATAAACATTAAAATTATTCTCTACGGCTGTCACTGTCATTCGATTCATATATTTGCAGTATTAGCTGCAGTGTTAGGGGCAGCGCCATTCCTCGGGCCGTACTTGGCCGGATTGCCGGCAGCCCTAGACGTATGGCTACAAGGCAGGCCAATGTCAGCCCTACTCCTACCTATAGCGCAAGCAGCACCGATTGCATTCCTCGACGCTGCGGTCTATGCTGAGATTAAAGAGTGAGTATTTGTAGAAGCCTAGCTAGTTTATTATTGTTATTTTTCAACAGGAGTGGTAAGGTCTTGGTAAGTTTTAGTGGAAGTTCTGAAGATAGCTGATCGGTAGGCCTAGTCACTTACTGCTTTTGACAGATGGAAATGATAATCACCGATCTATTTAGTGATCCACTACTGCTTTATCATAAAGCTAATGAGATACTTGATCTGGAAAGCATCGATAGATATTCATTTTTCCCTTTAGTTACACACTGCGAATGTCTAAAAAAATTGCGAACAGGTCGGCTGATCATATTCATAAACGCTGCATTCTATGCTGAGGCCCAAACACGAATTTTGACAGCTCCGTAATCAAATCGCATCGTCAAAGTTTCTATGAAAACTAAGCAGCGCCACTTTCGAACAAAATTTGTCGATAACGATACGATTACAGATCTGCCAAAGTTCGTGCTTTGGGTACGGTATGGAAAATTGAATTCATTGTACCTTTACAAGGCCCTCCAAATTATACTATCCGGCCTAACGTTGAAAACAGTCAAGATATCACCTATCTTCAGAATAGAATATTATTCCACGACATAGACAAATATCAGCCTTATTACCTCCGCCGAAACAATAGCTTTCGTCGACGCCATAGTTTATGCTGAGATCAAAGAGTGAGTTTTTGTAGGAGCCCATCTATTTACTGATTAATTACTCTGTTGTACAAGTTTGGGTCGAATCCAGTTCCGAAGATAGCGGATATCTTCGGAACGGCATATTTATTTAACGGATAAGACTTGCAGGGCTTAGTGATATAATTATGGCGCAAACCGATAATATTCCTCGACGCTGCGGCCTTTGCTGACATAAGAGAATAAGTTTAATTAGAGCCCCAGTTATTTACTTCGCCTATTGATAAGTGTAAGTGGAATGCAGTTTCGAAGATCTATGTTAAATGCTGACATTAAAAGTAGGTTTATTGCATACAAGGTGCGGCAAATTAACTCTACCCGCCTGAAGTTGGGTGAAGTCCACTTTCTAAGGTAATCATCAGCTATCTTCGGTACCGTTTATTATTCAACAGAATAGCAACACGCAGGGCTGGTTGATCTCAGATTTATTATTATAGTTTAAGGCCCAAGCTGCACCGATACTGTTTTTCGTTGCTGTGATCTATGCTAAAATAAAAAACCTAATTTCACCAAACTTCGTTATTCATCTAATAGCTTGTCAAGAGCTTTACAGAACAGAACTGTTAATGTTTTTTGTTTGTGTTTTTGTTGCCTTACCTTATTATGCTTTCATTGAAAAGAGGACACGTTATCCTATTTATACCAAACAAATAATGACATTATGTTTTATTTGTTTTAAAATATGACAGAATGGTTTTCATGTCATTCGCTGTGTCCGTGATGCTAGCGTACCCACGATCAATATACGGTTTTTCGTTATGCCATTAAATAGTGCCAAATTAGTGTAAAAATAAAAAAATAGTGCCTCTTTAATTTAAGAAATACAGACCATTTTTACTGTGTACGCTACCATGACGTCAAACTAGCGTACCCATGGCCGACCCCAAGAACGCCATATATTTAAGCAACGAAATTGACACACAAAAATAGTTCGCAAATAGTGCCCTGGCTTTACAAAATTTCATAATCAACACTCTTAAAGGACCTTCTTCTTCTTCCTGTTCCTTTCCAATTACTGAAGGTTGGACATCAGCCTTGAAAACCTCACTTTGTCCCTGGCGAGGTGAAACAATTCCGCGGCGCTCTTGACACCGGTCCACTCGCGGATGTTTCGAAGCCACGACTTTTTCCGACGGCCTACTCGACGTTTCCCCGCAATTTTGCCCATCATAATGAGTTGCAGTAAATCGTATCTCTCGTGTCTGAAGACATGACCGAGGTAGGCAACTTTTCTTGTTTTGATGGTCTGCATCAATTTGCGAGTTTGACCGACACGTCTTAGAACTTCGACATTTTTAACTTTTTGAGTCCAGCTGATTGAGAGCATGCGTCGGTAAGTCCACATTTCGAAAGCCTCAATACGTCTACGAAGGTCCTCTTTAATAGTCTAAGCTTCGCAAGCATAGAGGACTATAGGCCAAATGTAGCATTGAAGTAGACGAGTGCGCAAGCGAATACTGATATTGCGATTGGACAGTATTGATCTCATTTTGTTAAAGGCATTGCGGGCGATCTCTATTCATGTTTTAATTTCCATATCACTTTCCCAGTCTTCAGTTAGCCAAGTGCCTAAATATTTGTATTTGCGCACTACGTCAAGCTTTACTCCGGAGACATTAATATTTGGACTTAAATTATTTCCTTTTGAGATGACCATGATTTTTGTCTTTTGTGCGTTCATTCTTAGTCCCGCCCTTAAACTGCACTCATTCAAACGGTCCACTATCACCTGAAGATCCGACTCTGAAGACGCCATGAGGACAGTATCATCAGCATACCGGTTATTGATAACACGCCCGTTAACTTTAATACCGTAGTCTAGATCTGGCAAAGCTTCAGATATGATAGCTTCAGAATATAAATTGAAAAGTGTGGGTGACAGAATACAGCCTTGTCTAACACCTCTTTTGATGACTACGTCGTTGGTTTCTTCGCCCTCGACACGAACAGAAGCACGTTGGTTCCAGTACAGATTTTGAATAACTCTGATGTCTTTTCCGTCGAGTCCTATGTCGCTTAAGATGCACGTTAAACGCTCGTGAAGAACTCGATCGAACGCTTTCTCGTAATCTATGAAGCAGAGGTAGACGTCTTGCTGCATATCTTTACATTTCTGTACTAGAACCCGTACAGCAAACAGTGCTTCCCGTGTACCTACTCCGGCTCGAAATCCAAATTGGCTATCACTAAGCTGTTCATCACATCTCACTCTTATGCGTTCGTGTATGATAGTGAGGAACAACTTGAGCACTTGGCTCATAAGACTAATAGTTCGGTATTCCTCACATCTTTTAGCATTCGGCTTTTTAGGCAGAGTGACAAATATTGATTTAAGCCAGTTCTCAGGAAATACGCCAGTGTTATACACAAGGTTCATCAGTCTTGTTAAGGCACATAAATTATCTTGCTCGATTAATTTTAGTATCTCTATGTGAACATCATCCGGGCCTGTTGTTTTGCCTGTTTTAGCTTTATTCAGTGCTTTGGTGACTTCGTCTTTTATGATAGGATATCCATCTGTGTCACAAGGTGGTGGGGTGGCACTTCTTGTATCGTCTGAAAACATTGCTGAGATGTATTGTTCCCATAGGTGCTTCTTCTGAGTCAAGTCAAGCACTGTATGATTATTGTTGTCCCAAAGTTGGTATACAG